CAGTAGAAATGAGAGGGTGAAAAAAAATTCTGCCAGATACAGCACAGCTGGTGAATAATCCCTGCCTGCAGCTTGTACTTTGGAAATGGGGGAATGGGCCCTGCCTAATTCGTTTTTAAGTGAACGGTGTCACAGCGGCTTTAAAGGCCAAGCTTTTGCCTTGAGTGAGGTAATGCAGCTGTATATGCTGAAGCCAATACGACTTGGCTGAGGGATCGCTCTTGTTTGTATTTCTAAACTCCCCCTGCCCTCCTCCCTTCTCTCTTTTCCACCCAGACCCCTTTCCCTCCCCTGCTTCTTAACAAGTTTTTATAGAGCTTTAAAATCTCTCTATTTTGGTGAACTCTGCCAATCCTCTGAGATACTCTTCTGAGCAGCAGGAGCATATGTTTGCATTATGGGGCCTCCCTGTTCCTCGTAGGATGAATCATGGCCTTGAATCCCATCATACATCCGGCAAATAGGGTTTTTTAAAAAAGAAATAGACAGTTTTTAAAAAGAAATAGAAAGTTATGTCTGTTGCAAATGTCTGTGAATACAGTGGTACCAAGTCTTGCATAAATGTGCCCATAAACATGGGGAGACAAGTCAAACTGCTTTTCAATCGCTGCTGAATTCTTTCTACAATCTACTTGCTGCCACTTCAGGGTTGCCTGGTCCCAAATCTCCATTTATCGTGGATCATTGCCAGGTAGGAGATGAGGATGCAAAGCCTACAGTTTTGAGGGTCTCCAGCACAGCTAGAAGAGCGCAAGCTTTTAATATAATTTCCATGGGATTATGATTTCTTGGTTATACTTACAAATGCTCCCAAAGTGGTCTATATATAGAGAACTCTTAGTAACTGCTGGGGTTTGGTTCCAAGACACAGTTACACTGCTTGGTTTTGTCAAGTTATCATTATTTTTTTTGTTTTTTTTAAAAAAAATTAGTTTGAATGAGAACTTTTTTAAAATTGGGAACTTTGTTCACAAATTTGTCAATAATTTGATTTTGTTTTGACTCATATGTGACATGAATTAAGCAAAACCAAACTGATTCTACTATCCCTTAGCCTGCATTTAGGCGGGAGCTGTGTTGGCAAGATAAGTAGGAATAAAAACAAAACCAGAGAATCCTCTGAAGATGCCAGCAACAAATGCAGGTGAAACATCAGGAGTAAATACTGCTAGAACACCTTCCATATAGTGTGGAAACCACACGACACCCCAAAAACAGGGAACTTACATTCAGTCCAAAGAACATTTCACTCTGCTCTTCAGAAATTAATTGATGCAAGACCCTCACTTTTAACTTTTTTGTTATTATCTCTTGACTATGAAACTAGGGCTGTCCAGTAGAGGAAACAGAGGCATTCTCCACTCTTGCTGTGTAACTTTCCCCCTTTTTTATGTCAGATGTGACTTTAGAAATTGCAAGTCACTTCTGTGTGAGAGAATTGGCCATCTGCAGGGATGGTGCCCAGGGGACGCCCGGGAGTTTTACCATCCTGTGGAACTCCCTGCAACCAGTGGTCAGGATTTGCAATTCAATAATTTCTGGAGGTTGGCACAACTGCCCACACAGCAGTAGAGGATGTTTTAAAATACAGTGCAAACCTTGTATCTGCGGCATCAGAACCTACATTTTCACTTACCCGCATTAAAAAAAGTATAACTTCTCTAGGAATTCTCTATATACTCCAGGTGATTCTACAGTTTGCTTTCACCGGAGATTGTCACAGAGTCACATTGGAAGACTTAGCAAATTCCTAGAAAGGAATAGATGAAAACTTTAGGTATCAATCCCACAATATTGGGGTTCCATTCTATCTGAAAACATCCTTTCAATACATTTCCTACATCTTCCAATGTGACTCATAATTTTTGATGGAAGACATATATGTTTTGAGGATGTGTATCCTAGAATGACTTAGATTCACTATTCCTCTGAGACAGCCATTCTTGTGAAGTTTTGGCTCTGCCTTCTCCTCTCCTCTGTTTCAGTTCCCCCTGTTTATAGGCCTTCCCAATAATGTAGATGCCTTCCTTTGTATTAGTTTTGGGGTGGAGCTTAAAATCCCCCCAGAGGTCAGTCTTAGTTGGTCTATTCCATTTCTCTGTAGAGAGATCTTGCTGCGCTCCTCCCTTTTTTCTACATCAGAGTCAGAGATTGTCTGGCATCCTAGACCCAAGCAATCTAAACAGGCATTCTTAGCACTTGCTGTATTTAGCAGTATTTTTACACCAACAATCTAAATGACAACAGAAGCTTTTGGCCAGCCTAAGCTTCACAGGAGAGAAGATTAAGAAAGTTTGTAAGCCACAACATAATGTATTGTTTTAAGTTACTTTATGATAGTTCTGGGTCCAGTTGACCCTTTATTCATCTTGTTTCAGTAAACTCATTTGGTTATCTTTTCACCTTGCCTAAAGTGCCTCTGTCTGCTAATGGTCTTAATCTTAACAGAAGGTATCAGATAGCCCCCGAGTAAAGCCAGACCCTATAGTTTTTCCCAAAGGCTTGGGCATGCCATCACAATTCTGTTGCTGTGGAAAAGTAGATGAGATCCAAAAAGTATCTGTTTATATTTACATATGCAGACTGGGAACATCTTCCACTGAGTTCCCACTGGGATTCTCCAAAGGACTTAAAGGATGGTGTCCTCAGTCTGGGTATGGCTATGAGAACATAGCCAGATACATCTTCAACTCCCTTCCCTTTTCTCCATCAGCAACCAGTGTGTTCATGAGTCTTGGAGTGGCAGCAACAGTGATTTGTAGTAGAGTCCTACATATGCAACACTATGCGGAAACATTAATTCTCTCCATAAATGTGCATACATCTTGTGTGAAGAAGTATTTTCCTTTTATTTAATCCCAATACATTGACAATCAATCTCACTGGAAGACTAAATTATAACATAATGGAAGAGGGAGAAAAACATGCCACTATCAATTTTCTGCACAGCAAGAAGAATGTAATATCTTTCTCATATCCTTCCTCCAGGTTTTTTTTTCCTTCTCAGCAGAAAAGAACTCAAATATTGGTATTTTTCCTCCATGGAAGGCACCTCCAGTTGCATAGGCAGGAAAACATTCCTAGCCACACAACTATTAGAGTTACAGAGCTACACAAGAAGTTGGAGGGCAGGAGGACAAAGGGAAAGAGGGGGCATCAGGCCAAGACATTTTACTGTCCAAAGCAGAATAGCAAATATTCTCCTTTGCTTAGCTTACACAAGTTGATGTGCATTGGGTTTAACGTTAGCTTTATACAATTTTTTGTAACTGGGGAAGAAAATTATCACAAAGCTCCTTTGGACTGGATCAGACCATTCATTCATCTAGCTCAGTACTGTTCGCACTGACAGCAGGGTTTGAGATTGTTCTAACTGGAGATACCACGCATTGAATCCAGGATCTTCAATCCCCAGAGAAGATGTTTGCCACCAAGTTCCAACCCTTGCTCAGTCACCTCCACCCATTTCTCCACTAGTGAAATGCCACATTAACAATTTAACTGGGTTACAATTTGCTATTGTTTCATGACACCCGGACTCCGCTGCCTGAGGCCACTGCCTCACTGTGTCTAATTACTCACTAAAGTTAGGGATAGACAATGAATTTCCCAAACTGATTTGACTTTACTAGCCCTTGCAGAAAGCAATGCAAAACTTGGGTTATATTACAGGAGTTGAGCCTTTCTTAACCTGGTGCTCTCCAGATGTGTTGGACTATAGCTTTCATCAGCTCATAAACTATGGGAGTTGCAATCTACCACATTCAATTGGAATCCATGCTCAGTATTTAATTCGCTTTATTTTTATCCTACCACTTCTCCAAAAAGACACTGCAAACATTCTCTTATGACACCTAAATCATCCACACTGCAGAACAATAGCAAACTGTCACCACTTTAACAACATGGTTGTATCCTATGGGACTATGAGATTTATAGTTTGTTATGGCACCAGAGGGGTGACTCCAGTGGCACAGTGGGTTAAACCTCTGAGCTGCTAAACTCGCTGACCAAAAGGTTGACAGTTTGAATCCAGGGAGCTGTTAGCCCCAGCTTCTGCTAACCTAGCAGTTCAAAAACATGCAAATGTGAGTAGATAAATAAGAACTGCTCCGGTGAGAAGGTAACAGTGCTCCATGCAGTCATGTCTAAGCCAAAGAGCCGGACAATGCCGGCTCTTTGGCTTAAAAATGGAGATGAGCACCACCTTCCAGAGTCGGACATGACTAGACTTAATATCAAGGGGAAACCTTTTCATTTATAGCATCAGAGCTCTCTGACAGAGCAGGGCAAATGTCTCACAAAACTACATATCCCACGATTCCATAGCATTAAGGCATGGTACCCTATGTGGGGTCAAAATGCTATATTTCTGAAGTAGTTAGACAAGTCAAACAGAAATCTCTACCCAGATCTCTCATAGCTCCTTCAGAGGAAAGCATAAGATGGGTTGGAGCAGAGGAGTATTAAGTGAAAGACGGGCTGGAGAAAAACCCAATACCTACCTGACAAAACTGTTGTTGTATCTATTCTATATATCACCAGAAAGCTAGAAATGCACTAAAATCTAAGCCATTATAGATTTCATTTGCAGCATTCATTTCTGACTGAACTGCAAATTTGCAAAGCCTCTCTAAGTCTTCATCACACAAGAAAATGAATCCACTTTAAATCCGGTTGCTGCCTCCTGCAGAATTCTGGGGTTTGTAGTTTAGGGAGGAGCCTTTAACAGCTTCAATAAACTACAAGCCCCAGAATTCTGCAGAAGGCAGAAACCAGATTTAAAGTGGATTCATTCTCTAGTGTGATGAAGTAGTAACCGTCTTCCCTATTTGGGAAGTTCAACCTTTGCCGGCAAACCTACTCTTTCCAAAAGAGACTGAAAGGAGCACAGTGTTCACAGAAGGACTAGGATGGGCCATGCCGCTTCCGGCACAAAATGTACAAGACCAGCTTTCTTTGGGAGGCATGTTTTACTTGGCAAGGCTTGCTATACCTACCTGTACATAATCCACACTTCGACCCAGCGCTTTGAATGCTGTGTACATTACTTCTCTTTTCCCGCCCCATTTTTGCATGATGCAGACACTTTTGTTGGACAAGACCAGCTGTGTAACGTGTTGCATGCTCTCTTTATGGGACTCGTCACTCTCGTCGGGGCCTCTTTGATGAAAATTATTCCGCCAGATGTAGGTTGCAGATCTATCCCTGCCCATGATCTCAGTAAAAATGTCCATCATGTAAACATCATCTTCCGAATTCCCATCGATGACCATAATCACTTTAATTCCGGGGTAGGTGAGTCTTTTCACTGAAAGTAAACATTTCCTTAAGTAGTCAGGATCCTCTTGGTAGGCAGCAATGCAAAGGGCAACAGTTTTGTTAAGCTTGATGGGGGTCTCAAGAGATCGCTTCATTTTTCTGTGTTCGAGAAAGGCAAACAGGCTTTGGATGATGAGGTGAGATGCCAGAATAGCACCGTAGAGTCCAAAGGAAAAATAATAGTTGTCTGTTTGGATGAACTGGTAGCCCACAATGTAAGCAGCTGAGATTCCAAGGAGGAGAGATACCCCAAACAGCGTGGTTCCAAGTATTCTCAAGATACATATAAACCTCTCGCAATGCATCTGCGAACAGATCAAGAAAGATCATGGTCAATTTACACACTGTTTCTGGCTAGAAGGAAAATCTGGTTAGAATATGGAAAGGTTGGACAATGCAACTCCCATCATCCCTGATCATTGGGGATGCTGGCCAAGCAGTGGGAGTGGCTGTTAACTAACATTTGGCTGACCACAAGTTACAAACTATAGCTTCAAAATCATGGTCAAGGGAGTTGAAAGGATATAACACTGAAAAACAGTGAGGAGGACAAATTTTACATGAAACCCCATGATAGCATTGTCATAAGTAAAAAAAATGCCTTGAATGTATTTCTGACTTATAACAACCCTATTACAGGGTTTCACACAAAAATAAAATCCCCCAGTATGAGGTTTATAAGGACATTCTGTTTGTGAAACAAGTACAAGACAAAGTATACAGATCATAACTACTTGGAATATGCAAAACGAAATAGAAAGCCAACATGGCGTAGTGGTTTGAGCACTGGACTATAGATATCAGGGTTTGAATCCCCGCTCCACCATGAAAGCCCACTGGGTGAACTTGTGGAAGTCACACTCTCTCTGCCTTCAGTGAAGGCAAAGAAAACTCCCCTCTGAATAAATCTTGCCAAGAAAATCTTTGCCATAGGACCACCATAAATCAGAAATGACTTGAAGGCATATAACAACAATGTGGCTACACCTCTGTACAAATCTGTATGCATACATATAAGAAGAGACATTGCAAGCTCAGGTCCCAGTAATATGTCCCTAAAATGCTTTATATGTATAAAGAGAATATGTGCTAGATGTTCCAACTGATCAGCCCTGCACTGCATTGTTTTCTTGGGTCAGCATAGCCTGAGTCATGTAGGTGGTGGACAATTGAAAGCAGTTGCAGAGATGACTCTAGCAAACTAAACTTGATGCTGTTTGGTTTCTTCAAAATGGCTATATTTTAAAAGTCCATTTAAGAAATACATTTTACATTTCACAAATCAAAATCCACAATTTCAAAAATATAATAATAATAATAATAATAATAATAATAATAATAATAATAATAATAACAATGTTACAATTCACTATAATGGCATTGCCTGCTCTTGAAGTCTGTGTTGTGACCTACTCAACTCCTTAAACATCTCCTCATAATAATATTCCTAATGAAGAAAAATTGGTACCAGAATTATGAGCCCTGAACATTTCTGAGCTCTTTCAGACATTGAATGTGGAAGCATAGCTTGAAAGTACCTAGTCACAAGTAATTCTGCTATGAAAGCTAAAATCCTGTTGGTTACATTTATGGCACCAGTATATGAACTTTTGGGGGACTTTTGGAAAAAGATAATTAGTACCTTCTTTTGCAAAAGCTCATTTGCCCCACGTGTGCAGCAACAGTTGCAAAATTCCCAGGTGCACCTTCCTCTTCCTGACCCACTGACCAGTTGCATAGACCCACCGGGACACTCAATTGTCCTTGACCACCAGGGAAGAAAGATAGTCTTATGCTGGGAGCTGATACTGTTCCTTCTCCCACTACCCAAGGACCATCATAATGTACAATCTCACAATCTGAGTGACAAAGCTGTGCCCAGGAAGCATTCATAGTTGCTTTTGCATGCATAGACAGAAAGTAAAAAACCACTCATAACCAGTGGAAATTCTCCACTGCACAAATGGATAGCAAATATTCACATTCATACCCTCCAATGCTTTACAAATGAAAAATAAAACACATGCGGCCAAGAATTAGTAATGAATAGGAGCACACAAACTAGAAGAGTCTGGCACTTTCCTCTTGCCTGCACCTACTGAGAAAAGAAGGACTCTAACCCATGTTGTGCTATTTGAATGCAAACTACAGTGTGATCCCCATATCCACTAGGGATATGCTTCCAGACTACACATAGATATGCATAGCCAAGAATAATAGTGAACCCTATTGAAATGAAGAACTTCTGGCTCAAGAATACCATAGCTGAAGTGGAGGACCTGAAGATGCCAAGAGAGAAGACATATTTTGGGCCCCTCTACACAACTGTATAAAATCCAGATTATCTGCTTTGAACTGGATTATATGGCAGTGTAGACTCAGACAATCTGGTTCAAAGCAGACAATCTTGGTTATTTGATGTAATAATCTGGATTATATGGCAGTGCAGAAAGGACCTCAGTTGGACATGGACAAAAAGGACTGTAGATACCAGTCCTTCTGAACTTCGAATTCAGTTTGCAGTGACTGAAGTAAGCATTGGACAAAGGGGTAAAGTGGGAGGAGGACAGAGAAATTGGGGTATTTTTAAAACTGTTGAAAAACTGCAATGACACAGGATGAATTGAGACTGCCTCTGCTAAATAAGCAGAATTGAAGGTTATGCAAAACTGTCTTCCACGTGTTGCTGCAGATGTTGTTCTCAGCCCTCTAAATAGAACAGCACCAGATAGATGTTGCATTAGATACTAGCAGAGCCACGCTTGCAATGAAAGCCCTTATTTTTCTGTGTTAAAATGTTTGCATTATGTTATTGATCCCTCCACTGCACAAAAGTGACCTCATATTGTGTGAACAATGTGATCAGAAATCCTCAAATGCAATTTCTTCCGTTTTCCCTCTGCTTCTGTACAAACTAGAGGGAAATATACAGGTGGCTCCAACCTCAAGCCTGAACTTGCTGGAGAAAGCTTGATGTGCAGATCTACTTCATCAGTCATGTTACTCTGTGTTGCTTAGGCCAATTTAGAAGGTCTTTAGTTTTGGGGTTTTTTTTAAAGGGCAGACGATATAAAGTCACAATCAAACAAATTTGGCATTCTTAGGTTGTTTGTCACAAGAACCTCCCTAATGCTAAACTCTACATTATTCATGATCTAAGAAAAATGCAAGATCTGAAACTGAACAATGAATAGTGCCTCTCCCAACACCATTTTGCAGAAGCGCAGGCAATAGTGGCTGCTCCAAGTTTTAGTCTCAATGACTAATCTGCTCCAACTTTTAGTCTGAACTTTGAGTTATCCAACGTACTCAACTTTTAGTCTTCAAAGTTCAAACTAAAACCCGGGACAGATTCACTGTCCTAATGACATGGAAGTAACAATCCATCAGCACAGGGACATGGTACCCATGATTGGCCAATTTTATTTTGATATGTGAGATAGGAAATCCAACAAAATCTTCACCATAGGAGTGAAAGTACGATCATGTATACATTATCAATCAGATGTCCTTTCATAGCAGCAACAAAACAGCCCCTTCACTTTGCCTAACTGAATTCAAAATGAAAAATTTGTTTACGCACAATTAACTCCGATGCAGGGAGAAGAAAGGGTATGATCTTGCTCTACCCAGCTGGCGCAAACCAAAGCATACTGCTGCCGCCTCTGCTAACTTCTGTATGCTTCATCATTAATATATTTTTGCCATCTTAATGACACTCTGATGTTGTTTGCTCACACGTGTCTGAGCGCCACAATGCAAGAAGGATATTGACAAGCTAGAAAGTGCCCAGAGAAAGGTGACCATAATGATCAAATGTATTGTTGAAGGTTTCATGGCCAGAATCACTGGGTTGTTGTTGGTTTTTTTGGGCTGTATGGCCATGTTCTAGAAGCATTCTCTCCTGATGTTTCGCCTGCATCTGTGGCAAGCATCCTCAGGGGTTGTGAGGCTGCATCTGGGGCAAGCATCCTCTGAGGATACTTGCCACAGATGTAGGAGAAAGAACATGAGAGAATGCTTCTAGAACATGGCCATACAGCCTGAAAAACCTACAACAACCCAAAATGATCAAATATTTGGAAACCATGCAGCTTAGAGAACTGGGTATATTTAGCTTGGATATATTTAGCTTGGAGAAAAGAAGGCTGAGAGGGGACATGATAGCCATGTTTAAATATTTGAAAATATCTGACATTGAGGAGAGGGCAATTTTGTTTTCTGCTGCTCTAGAGACTAGAAAAGAGCCGCACATTCAGAGATCTGCCAAGAAGAATTTCCTGGCAGTTGGAGTTGTTTGGTAGTGTAATATGCTGCCTCAGAGCATGGTGAAGTTTCCTTCTCTAGAGGTTTTTAAGCAAAGGCTAGATGGCCATCTGTCAGGGGTGCTTTGATTGTGTGTTCCTGTATGGCAGGAGGTTCTCTGTTTATGTTTACTTTTTGTATTATGTTTTATATGATGGATATCCCATGTTTGTATGATCTGTGAACACAGAATAAATACAGTACATAATATAAAAATATGGTAGGAACATCCTTGGTAGCATAGCCAAATTCGATTTTGTTCTGCCTGTCTTTGTTTCTCATCTACTGTTCTCGTTATCCATATTTTACTTACATTTATTGCTTACAAGTCAGTGCAAGCATCTGTTGGCCACATCTGATTTTGGAACTACACCCTCTGACATCATACATGGTTGAAGACCATCCCTTTGAAAGTCCGGCAAGAGGGGGAGTTGCTACTTATGACCATACAGTTCACATCAGTCCGTTTACATTTCTGTCAGGAAAATAGTGCTCTTCAAGGGGAGACAGAGTATTTCTTTTTATAATTTGGAAATAAACAGGGGAAAAACCTCACTCTGCCCACCCATGTAGGAAAATAGTCATCCAGAAGATCATACAGAAAGGAATTTTTAAAAGGGAGACAGTTTTCAGACAATGTAAAACCAGGACATGTAAACTTTTGAAAATGTATGGCTATGCATGTATACTGGGGGGAGGGGGGGACTTATTCCAAAATCTGTAATGAAGAAAATATTGGAGACCTCTGAATGTACATCTGGCAAGATCAACGGAGTCACACCCTAAGTTTTAGCCAAGAGTTTGAAGAATTAATGCTGTTCCTAATCTATTTGTGTTTGTTGTTAGTGTCCTTAATAGACAAGCAACTGGATGTGTTTACTACATACAAGGAAAAACAGTGAGTCTGAGCTAAAGTTCAAGTTTTCTTTGGGTGTTATGTGATCTGCGATAGTTAATTCACACATCACAATCCATGGAGAAGTTATGCAGGGTCAAGAAT